TCTTTAGAATATTTTAATATCTATCATTACTTTTCAATATGCAAACAATAATAATATTTTGCGTTCTTAGACCAGACTATATTCGATAATAATAAAGATTGGACGAGTACATGTATATGCGTTATTATATATGTATGTGCGCGCGCGCACACACACAATAGTATTTAGCATTTTCCAAGACCCGCGTCTCTTCTCAAAATAAATTATAGATGACACAATGTAATAGATTATGTGTTTTATATAATGAAATAAAAATTGACAATTTATTTATTATTTTTTGTTTACACAAATTAAATATTATTATATGGTTATTATTCAATGAGCAAAAAATGCGCGCAGATTGTGATAATAGATTTAGTCAAAATTGTCAGCAAATTAATATCAATTAATATGTGCACATTAGAATTGTGATCTATTAGCAGAGTCTGTTTACACAATTTGACAACAAATTGATGGCAAAACTGAGCAGGATCTATAATTTTTAGTCATTTAGATAATTATATGATGTGAAAAAAAATTATATCTCATTATTTTCATTTTCACATAAATGTTTCACATAAAATATTGCAAGTTTAAGAAAAAGATACTTTTAACTGTAAAATTGGAAATAAAAATTAAAAAATGTTAAATGTAAAACTTTTAACTGTAAATTAAAACTGTGACTATAAATAAAAACGTGTTACAAATTTATATTTCTTTCTTGAAAACAACTATGTGTGTTTTCTTTATACCAATTGATTTCTCATTATTTTGTACATAAAAAAATTGAGGTTCGGATAATCAAAAAAAAAATATTTCATAGTTTATGTAAAATTATGTCAAATTAATATATATAAATAAAATGGTAATTATGCACTTGATGGACGTCCACACCAATTTCAATGATCTTGACATATGTTGTCAAGCTCGCTTGAGTAAGTATCAAAACGTTTTAAGTGTCGCTCACTATTTATTAAAAAATTATATTTATTAAAAAATATTTATTAAAAAATTATTAATGAAAAAAATTCAATTTTATAACTTTATATTGGGACCTTGAATAAGTTCTCGCTGTTTTTTCGTGAAAATTAATGCTTTATTTTAAAAAAGTCGTAAAAAACATTTCACTGAAAATATTGTCCATCGCTAGCCACTACTTTTTTCCATCTTTCTGGCAGTATTTGAATTCCACGTCGGAAAAACGACACGTCTTTTGAGGCTATCCAAGAGTCGACCCATTTTTTGGCATCTTCATAAAAATGTAAGTGCTGGTCAGCCAGGCCATGTGCCATCGATCGGAACAAGTGATAATCAGAAGGGGCAATGTCTGGTGAATACGGCGGATGGGGTAGGACTTCCCATTTAAGCGTTTCCAAGTAGGTTTTTACCGGTTTTGCAACATGTGGCCGAGCGTTGTCATGTTGCAAAATCACTTTGTCGTGTCTCTGCTCGTATATCGGCCGTTTTTCCTTTAATGCTCGGCTCAAACGCATTAATTGTAATCGATAGCGATCTCCTGTGGTTTCGTTCGGTTTGAGCAGCTCATAATAAATTACACCCAGCTGATCCCACCAAATGCAGAGCAGAAGCTTCGAACCATGGATATTCGGCTTTGCCGACGATGTTGATGCATGGCCGGGCTTATCCCATGATTTTCTACGCTTAGGGTTATCGTAGTGTATCCATTTTTCATCACCAATCATGATACGATGCAAAAAACCTTTCCTTTTCTGCCGTTGAAGCAGCTGTTCACACGTGAAAAGACGCCGTTCGACGTCTCTCGGCTTCAACTCGTATGGCACCCAATGTCCTTGCTTTTGAATCATTCCTAATACTTTCAAACGTTTCGAAACTGTTGTGTGATCAACTCCTAATGATTCTGCAAGTTCATCTAGCGTCTGACATGAGTCTTCATGAAGTAATGCCTCCAATTCTTCGTTTTCAAACTTTTTCGGTGCGCCAGAGCGTTCTTTATCTTCAACATCAAAATCATTATTTTTGAAGCGTCTAAACCAATCTCTGCATGTTGTTTCCGACAGAGCATGGTCGCCGTAAGTCTCAACAAGACTTCTGTGTGCTTCAGCTGCAGATTTTTTTTGAATAAAGTAGTGCAGTAAAATTCCCCGCAAATACTCTTTTTTTGGCACGAAACTCGACATGTTAACACTATGAAAAAAAAAAGTTGTTTACACTTCGGCGCAATGACATACACTGAATTTCAAGCTTGCTTATAGTACTTCCCTATAGATGCGTTAAATCTTAAATTACACGCACGCAATTCTGGTAACACCATCTGTTGGAAAACAGCGAGAACTTATTCAAGGTCCCAATAATATATTTTAGTGCCAAATATTGCGAGAAATTAATTTATAAAAAAATCGGTGATTCCATTTAAAAAACTAGATTCATGTTTTTATGTATATATGAGTTTGAAAAAGATTTTAAAATTCAAGCTTATCAACATTTTTCTTAAACTCTTATAAATTTTGTCAGAAATACTTATTTAAACAATGTCAAATTTTAGGAAAATTGCTTCATATTTTATGTGAAATATTCTACATATCCAGGTATCAAAAGTAGTCATTTTAACGTCAGAATAACGTCAAAATAATTAATTTTGCTACCTGAATAGTCAATAGAATTCTGAAATATTTACCCAACAATAATATAACAATAATGTTATAATTGTCCACTCAACAATGTAACTGCAAGGTAACGCGTTGTACATAACATGCCTTGTATATAACAGTTACATTGTCGAGTAGGAAATTATAACATTAATGTTATTGTTACTCTATGTTTGCTGAATATGAATATTCGTAATATATAATTAGATTTCAGTAAATGCAATTAAAATTATATATAAATGTAATTCTATTATAGATTCATAAGTGTTACCGATTAATCAGTTAATTAAAAAAAATTTTCCTCTCATAAAACCTATTAATGTAACATATGTTATACTGGATTATATCCCACGTAACAAACATGACTGATTCAAATAAAGAATAAAATAAATTATTGAAATAAATTTAATTTATAAAACTTAAGATATAATTTATAACTTAAGATATAATTTATTTTATTTGATGATTAAACTTTCCTACTTTATGTTTCATGTAGGCAGTAAATAAATAATTTTTTTCTTGAAAATCAATTAATATACTGTAAAATTCATTTTTGGACTAGATATTAGAAATTAAATTGATAAAAATAACTATTGCACTTTTGATCTTATATTAGTTACTGTGCTTTATATACATTTCTAACAGGTATTTGAATACGGAAAAGTATAGTAGTAAGAAGAAACTATCGAGTCGAATATTAAAAGTCTTTAAATATTCCATTTAAATAATTAAAAAATATTGATCCTGCTCGATTTCTATCGCCAATCTGCCAATTTAATTGATAATATAATAACTCTTATATAAAATTCATTTTTTTAACAATTTTAACAGGCACTTGGCAAGTTCTTTATTGAAATAAATTTGGTTAATTATCATATATAATCACAGTTTACAATAAATTCAAATTTTCGTATATTTTTAGCACATCTTGATCAAATCTTCTTAATATTTTTCTCAGTCTTTATTCTATTTCAATAACACATGTACGGAATAAACATATCGTTAATATCAATGCTATTTTTAATTTATGTATATATGGTATCAAATAAGTAACATTGGAGAAGATCATTTTCTAAGAATATGACAATTAAAAATACTAAAAATATACAAAGGTATTAAGAGTAGAAAAAAATTTAACTCATCGTAAAGTTTACTTCCGATTGGGAAATAAAGATCAATGAAAAAGCTAGATGATTTCATGAGTGTGGTCGAAGACGCGAAAGTTAATTGGTGCGATATGAGACGATAATCACTGATGAGTTCATTATGATTAAAAAACATCAAATTAAAATATAGATCTTCTATCTATTTAAAAAAATATAACAATTAACGTATATATTGTAATGCCCTATATTAACATGTTCTCTATAAAAGCATAATCATTCCTTCTTTGTTAATTATTATTAATCAATATGAGAATTTATGATGTTTGAAAAATTAGAAGGTTTTTGTGAAACTTGTGTGCTACTTAAATATTAATCTTCATCTCTCGCGTTCTCTGCCCATGAAATACTAGCTCTTGGCTAGCAGAACGAAAACGTACTATAACTTAAATTTCAAAAGTTCTTAAAATCTCAGATGTAAAAATCCAAAAATAAAATATTCTCTGTAATCAATTAATCAATTAAGAAAAAGTATACATTTGGACAGGTTAAAAATAAAAATTGAGAAGTTATTTTTTATTAAGAAATTGATAATTAAAATTAAATTATTTTATTCAAAGATGTATTTCTTTAATTGTTTTTAAGAATTTTTTAAATCTGTTCTGTACATAATGAGATGGCAATATTAGCAAATAATCTATTATTGTAATAGATATGATTCTGCTAAGATAGTAATATATTCTATATAAAAAAAATTCAATAATTCTTAAATTTTTTCTCAAAAATTTTTTCTCAAAAATATTTAATTTTTTAAATTTAAATTTTTTTAAAATTTATATTTAATTGAATTGAATTTTTTAGTTTTAAATAGCTTATGAGGATCAAAACTTAAAATTTAGATTGTCACAATTCTATTCAAAACGCATTTTAATGGGACAGTTATGTGAAGTATAAAATTAATATCTATATTTGAAAAATTTTTGTATAGTATTGTCATAGTAATGGATATTGTTGACACTATATAATCATTAATGTAATCATTAACTTAATGATATACAAATCGAATTAAAAAATTCTTAAAAATATATACACATACAACACATGCACACATACACATACATAAATATAAACAATTAAAGAGATACGGTTTTAAACAAAAAAAAATTTATTTAATTTCAATATATTATTAAATATGTATCTAATATATTATTTCTTAAAAAAAGAATTATTTAAATTGCTCTTGTTTTCAACCTGACCAAAAGTATATATTATCTTTTAATATTTTCAATGTAATCATAATTAACATGATAATCGCTAGATATATTCTGTATTAAAATTGCTTTACGATGCAAAATTTTTATAAAAATAAAAGGACTATACAAAAGTAGTTTTCCAATTCAATGTTAGTAAATATTTTGTGCAAAATTTACAATTGCATTAGTTTTGATTTTTTGGAAACATCGCCAGAATAGTAGCGCAAATGTGTTGAGGATCGGTCTCATGTGGATGTAGCGCCATAACAGTTTGCACTTGCTCTTCGGGAAAGATATTGGCGAGATGATAATGCAGGCGACGTCGAGCGTCTTGGGCATGTGTGCCCCAAAGTATGTGACTCGTGGACGGTGGCGATGGTAACAAATTTAGTTGAGGATCCGAAGTACCCAGCCTCTGAATTGGTGATAGTCGCATCAAGGTAGTATTTTGTGGCGGCCACGCTTTATAAGAGTCTGGGGCGGAAGCAATGCGCATCACATGCTGGTGATGATGCTGAAAACAATCGGGATGGTCCCAGCTGAAATCAGGTTTGAAAATGCGCGAGGATTATTTGGCTATTTAATTCTGAAGAATATAATTATATAATATAAATTTTTATAATTTTATAATATAAATTTTTTATAATTAGTCATAACATCCATATGCAGTTGTTTTTATTTTCTATAAATTTTAAAATCATTAATCATAAAATTTAAAATCATTAAGTAGTTAATATTAAGTAGTAATAATACTTTGTTTTGAAATTAATACTAATATATATAAATATTAAAACATATAATTTACTTAAAAAAATTATTAAAGATTAAATAAAATGTTTAATTATTATTTAATTATTATTTTATAAAACTATTCAGATATATGTTATGTCCGGTAATAACCGTATAAATCACTTCTCGTGTGTAAGTAGAAAGAGTTAAATTGAATAGAAAAGTTCTATTTTGCGATTTTTGCAATAATTAATAAGATATTAATTTTTAAAAAATTTATTAAATTCGTGTGAACATTGGCTGCGTTCAGCAGAAAAAGCTGCTTTACAACGGTTGCAAAATTCATGAGTTTGATTGGTATATACTTTTAATTTTGGATGAATCTAAGAGTATACACCAATCAGATTCATGAATTTTACAACAGTTGCAAAGCAACTTTTCTTGCTGAACGCAGCCATTAACGCACGGCGAAAAGAGACAACTCGTTGTCACGTTGATTGCTAAAACACGAAGATATCAGAAGTTTTCAGAACCGTCCTTAGATTTCCTGTAGCATTATTGGTTCATGAGTTATCAGAGATTGAAGACAAAATGGTCGCTTTTCACTCAATCGTCGATATCTCCGGAACAAATGGTCGTACAGAGTTCGTTCAAAAAGCAAATTAAAGCTAAATGATCAGGCTTTCTGACCCTGGTATTGAAAAAGTCCAAAAAATTTTTTTCAAGCCCATGGATGTCTTTAAAATTGAAAAAAAATTTCGAAAATTTTTGTTTCAGCATATTTCTTTTGTTTGCTCTCCGATGGAAGCTCCAAAAAAATTTTAAAGAATTGTAAGGATTGTAAACTAGAGATTTCAAGCTTCAAAATGCTTTTTCTTTCGTTTCTGTACGATCATTTGTCTGGAAGTTATAGCGTTTCAAAAATGACCCAAAAATTTTTTAAAATTTTTTGTTCCTTTAATTTTTTTGAGTAGTGTTATTAAAATTTTTGTTCCTTTAATTTTTTTAAATAGTATTATTAAAACAAAAAATTGAATTATTGATCCGCCTGTTTGCAATTCCGATATTCTAAAAATAATTTAGTTAAATATTTTGCTAATTTCTTGAATGAATAAAAAAAGTTATTAAATACAATATTTATAATTTTTGTATACAGAGAAATTATTTTTTTCTTAATCGTTCGTCAGAAATGTTGTTTTCATACCATGCTTTAGTACTATGCTTAATAAAGATTAATACTCTAGTAAAATGAGTATTAAAATACTAAAATAAAATAGTAATGAAAAGTAAAATGATTTTTTTTTCAGTTTTCCATGTGTCCTGCATTATCAGAAATCCTTCAGAATCTCCTAACAACGAAGAAAAACAAAATATATCCTCCTGCTTTAAAGGAATTCACTTGTTCCTTATTATTTTATTCGACGTCGACGTATCACTACGTCAAGAATAATTTTTTGAAATCCTTACTTCATCCACAAACGATTCGAAAATAATTTTCCAAAATTGACTTTAGTCCTGGTATAAGTAAACTAATCTTATATAATTTGAAAGTGATGATTGATAAACATGCTGCCAAGGGTGTTAAGTTACAGTTTAAAGTTCAAGTCGACGAAATGTCTATAAAAAAAGGGATTGAATGGGATGGAAAGCGGTACCATGGACAAATTGACTTAGGCCTCCAGAATGAAGAAACTGAGGAAACGACATATGCATTAGTAATAATTCTTGTTTCTCTGAACGGATACTTTAAGACTCCAATTGCATATTATTTTATTAAAGATTTAACGACTGAAGTTAGAGCAAACATTATGAAAAAAGTTTTGACAGTACTCTTTGAGAATGTTATCGATGTTAGATCGTTAACATTCGAGGGTGTTTCAAGTAATATAAGTATAATTAAACAACTTGGTGTTAACTTCCAAAATATTGAAAAAGAATTATTTTTTGAACATCCAGTAAGCAAAGAACCTATAGTTGTTGTGTCTGATGCCTGTCACATGCTTAAGTTGAATAGGAAATACGTTAAGTTGAATAGGAAATACGTTTTCGGAATATGATTTAATTGAGAAGGAGGATAACCGTATTAAATGGGCGTATATAGAAAAATTAGGTAAATGTTTACTTTACGTCACACAGCTCGAAAAATTTTTATTTTCAGATATGTTGTAGAGGACACATTCCTAAATAATACATCGTTTGAATTTTGTGACGCTCTCTCTTCGTTCCTGAGATATGCAATTTTGAAGTTTCATACTTAGTTGTATTATCTTTTCGTTACTTTCTAAATATATTTATATTTTTGTATTTACATTTCCCGAGGTCATCTTTCTAAACTTTCATAACTTTCACAAGGTTTTAGCTGTTTATTGTTATTTATTAAATAGTTATTAACAAAAAAAGTTTCAAGAATGGAATATAATTTTATGACATCATGCATGTTTAAGAAGCAATATAGACGCGCGCGGGGTGTGTGTATGTGTGTGTACACATACATTTGTGATATTTTTTAATTGTATTTCTTTTGTATTACAGTATTAATTCAGTTTGTAACAAAACAAATATACTATCTAAGGTATATCAGGAATTATTCAATTAACACCCTCCATGGAATACGATCTCGATACATCGAGATAACAACGTACATATACGCATCGGGTACAAGTCCCGAATAAATTCGATCCAACGAGACAACAGCGTGCACATACGCATCGGGCACAGGCCCTAACAAATGGTCCTTCGAGCCGGATATTACAATATTATTACGATAACCGACAAGGTTGTAAGTAAATCCATTACTCTCACCAAGGTAACACGACACTCTATCTTTTTGAGTACATCATTAATCCCAGTTTTAGCGCGACGATAGCTAAATTATCAATGCCGCTGTCTTTCTTTGTTTTTGTATAGCGTCGTCGCCATATTACCATTCTACGCGATCTCTCTTTTTCGAGTCGCTTCGCGGCCATATTGGCATTCTGTTTCTTTTTCGCCGATTTGCAACTACATGTTATTTCGCCTTTAATGCACATTTATTGAATTTATTATCATGGATTCTCTTACATTAGTGGAGGCCAGGAATAAAAGAACTCACATAAAGGCCTCAGTAACATGATTAAAGCATTTCATAGAAAACTTTGACACATCTCAAGGCTCGCGTCATGATATTACAGAGCGTAGACAACGATTAACAGAATTATGGCAACAATTTTATATTATTCAATCGCAACGCGAATCATTAGAGAATCAGGAGCCTTCAATTGATAAGGACTCTTTACTTGAGCAGCAAATACAGCAACGTTCTAGTTTTGAAACCTCTTATTTCAATATAATATCATTGTATGAAGCAGCTCTTGAACATTTTAATTAATATATATTAATATTAAGACCATTAGCCTCCGTTTTGGTTGGGGAATCGTCGCATAATTCTGAACCTATGTCAAGGGAATCTCACGTTAAACTTCCCAAAATAGATCTTCCAGTTTTTTCAGGTTCCTATGAGGACTGGTATTCATTTCACGATACTTTTGACAAATTAATCCATTCTAACGAGCTCGCAGATATAGAGAAATTTTATTATTTACGCTCATCATTAAAGGATAAAGCAACAGAGATTATCAAATCAATAGAAACCACAACGGATAATTATCAGGAAGCATGGATTTCGATAAAGGAACGATTTGATAACAAGAAATGGATTATCCAAAAACATGTCAGAGCTATTTTCGAATCACCAGCGCTTTCGAAGGAAAATCACATAGCGTTACGTGATTTATTAGACACGATTCTCAAACATTTACGAGCTCTTAAAGCTCTTGGTCGTCCCACTGATAATTGGGATGATTTACTTATTCATATAATTATATCTAAACTTGATATCGCAACTAATAAGGCATGGGAAACTAGCATTACTGATACAAATGTGCCAGACTTAAAATCGTTATTGGATTTTCTTTCGAAGCGTTGTCAAGCACTCGAAGCAATACATAGTAGTAAGTACATTAGCAATCAATTCAATAATGCGCATCAAAAGTTCGCCAGTAAGACTAAAGGTAATTTAGTTGCTAACATTGCCACTTCTAATATGGCTTGCCCACAATGTAAAAGCAATCATCAATTATATCTGTGATGCGTTTCTTAAGCTACCAGTAGAAAAGAGAATACAAGTTGTAAAAAAGGCGGATTTATGCAGTAATTGTTTAAGATCAATAACACATCAAGCTAAAGCATGTAATTCAGGTTCTTGTCGTGAATGTAGTAAAAAGCACAATACGTTATTGCATCTAACGAGCACAGCCAATCAGGACAAGACATCTGCAGCAGAACAATCTGCCTCTCAAAATGAAAACATGCCAACTACTGTTGTTACTCAATGCGTATCTAATCATCTTTCATTGGGCACTTTATTGTCCACCGCCATAGTAAATGTTTATGATACAAACGGTGAGAGTCATTCATGTCGTGCTTTACTTGATAATGGGTCCCAGACAAATCTCATTACTGAGGAGTTTGCAAATCGATTGCAGCTTAAGAAACGACTATTTGATATTGCTATTAAAGGAGTTGCAGAAGGCTCCTTTCAAGCCACTAACTTTGTAAATATATGTATCAAATCACGGTTTAATAAGTTTCATGAAAAAATTGATTGCATAATATTGCCAAAGATAACACAACCTTTACCACAAGCTTCTGTAAATAAGCGTAACATAACAATACCTAAACATATAAAATTAGCGGATCCTAATTTTAATATACTGAGTAGCATTGATATGCTAATTGGAGCTGGTTTGTTTTGGAGAATTATTTGTGCCAG